AGAAAAAGGAAACAAACTTGCAAGACGTTTCCGTCTTGCGAAGCAAGCCCATAGGGAAAATCATCTTGCGAAGCAACTCAAAAAACCAAAAACCCTTTCGTTTTGTGAGTTTTCCGTCTTGCGAGGCATTCGTCTTGCGAGGTACCACTGTATTATTATTATCCTTCAGGGTGCCTTCTGAATAAGGGCCTATATGGAAGGGCTTGCTCACGCACAACCATTTTGAGAGAGCGGTTTCATGATGTTTGCAGTGAGTTGATGTCCTTGTCATACTATCGCAATTAGGTAAACAGCCCTGGAACCAAATCTGCGGAAGGATGGCTCTGCTGTACTTCCACAACTTTAGGCAGCAATGCCACCAGTTCCTGGAAACCACAGAAGAGGAGCGGGCTCTTGTCCTCAAGTCCTGCTTCCTGGTTTCCCACAGGCATCTGGTTGGCCACTGTGAGAACAGGCAGGATGCTGGACTAGATAGGCCATTGGTCTGAATCAACAGGCTCGTCTTACATTCTTATGATGGTACAACAATATTTAAAATGTTGAGATACTATGAATACACCGGCTCGCCGTAGGGATAATAATAATAATAAATAATAATAATAATAAATTTTATTTATACCCTGCTCTTCCCAGCCAGAGCCGGGCTCAGGGCAGCTAACACCAATAAAATCACAGTAAAAACATAATAGGGGAGAAAGAGAGGGGAGAAAAACAAAACACAAAAAATTTTTTAAATACAGGTTGAAATGCAATTTAAAATGAAGCGTCATTTTAAAGTAGCTGATAAATCAAGACCATAAGGGGAGGGAAACATAAGGGTCAAACCGAGTCCAAACCAAAGGCCAGGCGGAACAGCTCTGTCTTGCAGGTCCTGCGGAAAAATGTCAAGTCCTGCAGGGCCCTAATCTCTTGTGACAGAGCGTTCCACCACATTGGGGTGCTGAGAAGGCCCTGGCCCTAGTTGAAACCAATCTAACCTCCTTGAGGCTCGGGACCTCCAAAGTGTTGTTATTTGTGGACCTTAAGGTCCTCCGTGGGGCATACCAGGAGAGGCGGATGTGCATGGGTCCTGTGATTCGCCTTCTTTCTATATCTGTGCATTTTAGCTTTGAGCTCTAATTTGGCTCCTGAACCATTCTGTAGGAAACCAAACTTGTATGTTCCCCCATGGATGCAGCACGCAGGTCTCGGACTGCCTTGTAAAGAGAACTACAAGGTTGTGGATTCTGAAGCAAACCCATGGTCCAGTGTGAGTCCTGGTCCACCCAGATTGACTCAGGCGAGTCCACTTTGGAATACAAGTTCAGCAAATTCCTCCTCCATCCTTAATAGTTGAAAGTTACTGTCAAACATTCAATTATAATAAAGGAAATTAAAGGAAATAGGAATGGGTGAATATGTCAGCTTCAAGTTCTCTGTTTATCGTTCTTCCAGTTCTAAATTCCTTTGTCCACATTTCCACATCAGTTTGCATTATTTTTCTTGAAATGTTCTCATGAAAATCCATCAACATTTCAGTTCAAATTTTCCTAACATGCACATTTTTTTAAAGAACACAATTTCCTAAAATAATATATTTTTTACCATTATATGCATTTGTATGTGCACATTACCCTAGAAAGTGCATTTTGAACACAATAATGGGCTGGCGGAGTGTGGATTTTGAAGGATTGGCATATTTCAGTTTATGCATTGTTTCGTTAAGTGTGTTTTGTTAAGTTCACTTTTAAACATCCGTGCACAGAAAAGTAATGGGAGGAATCCATCTCTAGTCTCCCATTTCTGCTCATTCTTCTCATTAAAAAAACTTCAGGGAGTATGAATTGTAGGCAACCAGAGATTTAGTGATGTTCAGTTATGAAGTTGTTTATGAATTCTGAGGCAGCCCCTTGGGGAGGAAGGAGTTTGCAATTGCCTGGTTTCACTTTTCTTTCCTGGCATTCTGAGGTTTGGCCAGTTAGGAGCCAAGGAGAGGCCTTCCCTGCTCCTCATAAAGTTCTCACCTTCTTACAGGGGGAGCTGTGGAACTGTTAAGCTCACAGTAACTGGAAAGGAGAAGATCTGGAACTTTGTATAGAGGTTACTGAAGTAATTACTGAGAACCTTTTTTTTTTTTTAAGGAAACCACACACTAATACTAGTCTGTAAAACTTTGTTCTAGCAATAGTAGGAAATTTATTCCCCTCAAGAAGGCCCCTGAAGATCAGAAGACACACCCTTCCTAACCCCTTTTCCTGCATGCCAGATGAAAGTTTCCCACAATAAAATTAAATCAATCTTTGTCAAATGCTTTCATTCATTCAAAAACACACCTTGGACTCTCTCTCTCTTGAACTGAACCATTCCATGGCCCGTACTAACAGGCACTCATGCCTGGGCTGTTAAGCTCATTTCCAGTAAGTTAAAGAATAATTCCAAGACAATGAAACAGAATTTTGGGGGTTAGGCTCAAAACTCTCAGCAGAAGATGGGCATCAGCCTAGCATATTGGGCTGAAAGGATTTCACTTCCAGGGCCAGGTGACGGGTTTACAGTAGACAAATGTGTCCCAAACAAAAGCCAACTATTACAAATGATCTTCCTTGGTAAAATGTTTTGGTGATCAGCATGAGGTTAATCAGATAGCAACATCTCCAATATTATTATTTTGAGACCTGCATCTCTAGGTGGTGACAGCAATTACCGTAGCTTCTTCTCTCCTTCATAAAAAAGGCAGATTTCAGACTCGTTTCTTCAAAGTCCAGAGGCTTGCTCTTTGAAACATTCAAGTTTAAACTGCAAAAAAACAAAAACAAATAGTGCTTCTGAGGAGCTTTTAGTGTAATTATTTTATTTCACAATAACTAAGGCGATGCTATCAACACTTTTGGCATTCATAGCTACCCCCACAGACCTATTTGATAATGTGTAATTAGGGCTGAAGAAAAAGTAGTCACAATTTTTGGTGAACGTTTTCAGAAGTGCTGGAAAATGTTTCCTTCTTCCCCACCGTTGATTTTGGGGGACATTCCTTGAAGCAGTGTTTCACCTGTTGATTTGCATGGTCTGCTTTCATGGGCCCTCAGTTTCACCATCAACTGTGGTTGACTAAGTGTAAGACCACTGCCTCCAAAATATCTAGTATAGTGGTACCTCAGCTTAAGAACTTAATTCGTTCCAGGGGTCCGTTCTTAACCTGAAACTGTTCTTAACCTGAAGCACCACTTTAGCTAATGGGGCCTCCTGCTGCTGCCAAGCCGCCGGAGCACGATTTCTGTTCTCATCCTGAAGCAAAGTTCTTAAGAGGTACTATTTCTGGGTTAGCAGAGTCTGTAACCTGAAGCGTATGTAACCTGAAGTGTATGTAACCTGAGGTACTACTGTATGTCCCCTCTGCCTGCAAGTCACTGACCATTCCTCTGACTTCCATTGAGATGAATGACCCTGCAGAAACAGTGGTGGAGAAATGTAGCCTGACTTCAGTTGGAATAATGCCTTCACACATACAGTTGTTCCTTTACCTGACCAAGAACCCTGTTTTTTTCATGGTTCCTGATCAGGCAGAGGGAGAGCCTTGTAAGGAATAAGCTCATATTCTGATCTTGAAATGTACCTGCAATCTGTAGGAGGCGGGGGGGCACATTTTATATAGCTATGCATATTCTGATGGTCTCTGTATCATTGTTCTTCTGCTGAGCAGTTCATAATGTGAGAACAAGAAAGATGAAGCACAAAGGCTTTCTTTCTCCACCACCACCACACACTACAATAGGCAAACCCCATATTCCCACAATATTCTGCCTTCTGTATTCACCTTTGTGAGCTTGGAGGCAAATCAACAAGTTTGAGCACGACTCTAATTCAAGCTTTGAATAAAACTTGTACATGACAAGTCTAATTACTGGGTGGATGCATTGCTTTTCCATTATGTCGAACAGTAGTTAAATTCAATTACAACTGTTGTGCAGTGCAGTTCATTCACCCACTCATTCATTCGGAGCTATTTCAGTGACTTAGCAGACAGGCCACCTTGTAATCAACTCTGAGTTCCCCCAGGCACTGCGGGCTCCAGAATTTGGGGAGCCTTTGGGCAGAGGGCCTGTGGGCCTACCCCTTCTTTGCCATTGTGGGAAGCTGCTTCTGCTCCTCTGTTTCATTATCACGACCATTGGCTTGCTAGCCAGTGAGAAAGCCATCAACGAGAGCTCCTCCTCCTTAGAGAGCCAGTGTGGTGTAGTGGTTAAGAGCGATAGACTCATAATCTGGTGAACCGGGTTCGCGTCTCCGCTCCTCCACATGCAGCTGCTGGGTGACCTTGGGCTAGTCACACTTCTCTGAAGTATCTCAGCCCCACTCACCTCACAGAGTGTTTGTTGTGGGGGAGGAAGGGAAAGGAGAATGTTAGCCGCTTTGAGACTCCTTAGGGTAGTGATAAAGCAGGATATCAAATCCAAAACTCTCTCCAAACTCTCTCTTTGCCTTCTCACCACCCTTGTTTCCTTGCTCATCCCTTCTGGGCTGGAGCAAAAGGCAGGTCAGCAAGCCAATGGCAATGGCGAAGAGGAGGAACAGGTAGGGGAGTCTCATCATTGGGCCCCTCTTCTGCGAGGCGGAGTCCTTGGCGAGAGCCCAACCATGCCAACCCTTGACACCAGCCCCGTCTAGAACAGGTGTGGGAGACCCTTGGCCCTCCAGATGCTGGTGAACTGCAGTTCCCATCAGCCCCAGCAAGCAGAGCCAATGGCCAGAGCTGATGGGAGTTGTAGTTCTGCAGCCTCTGGAGGGCCAAAGGTTCCCCATTCCTGGCGTGGAACTTGGGAGTTACCCAGTGAAGTTGATTGGCAGTATTTTCAGTAGAAGCAAAATTAAGTACTTATTTTACATAACATAGAATTAATCAGTTGGAGTCACAACAGGTAGCGAATGTGCTATGTTAGAATCATAGAATTACAGAGTTGGAAGGCATCCTGAGGGTTATGTAGTCCAGACCCCTGCAATGCATGAATAGTCCCAGCCCTACTTGGAGAAGCTGGGGATTGAACCTGGCGTCTTCTGTATGCAAGGCAGGTGCTCTACCATTGAGCTACAGCCCAGGTTAGATGTCTATTAAGGGGGATTTGATACTTTCCTAGAGAAGCATGGGTCCGTCAATGGCTTCTCGCTATGATGCTTACATCCAGGATGTAAGGCAGTGGGCCAATGCATAGCAGCTAGAAGGAAGGAAAGCAGTGGAAGAGGGTTATTGCTTTCATGTCCTGCCTGTGGGCTTTTTCCAGGCATCTGGTTGGCCACTGTGGGAAAGAAACCCTGTGGTTTTCCTGCAAGGGCAGCCATCAGTTTTGGCATGCATAAACAAAGGAACCACTTCATCCCCCCAAGCCTTTTGCAGGCAATCGGTCTGAGATTTGCAGATAGAAGAGAGGTGTCCGTCCGTCTGTCCGTGTGTGTGTGTGTGTGCGCGCGCGCACATGCACACGTGCATTTGTGGGAGGGCAGGTCTGCATTTGCCCAAGGGGATAAAAAAACACCTTTGCTAGCAGGCCATTCCAGGTGGTTTGGATGGACTGATCCACTGTACAAGGTGCAAGTTCATGCCACCTCAGGGATTTTGTACTTCACTTCAGACAAGCCCCAAATCCCTCCAAGGCAGCTTGCTTTGGCCTGGGGTTCAATGCACACCCCTAATGCTACTCAGAAAACAATGGATGGCATCAGGGGAGCAGGACTATTGGATGAGTAAACAAAGGATGGTGAGTCTGGTGAAAAAGGTTTGTGTGGAAGCACCTGTCATTGTGCATGTAGATGCTAATTTGAAACGAGTTGTTAATTGTATACTTTTACTTGACACCTTAATTTTTGTCCCACATTTGCATCAAGCTAGATAATCTGTTTGGTTGCACAAAGAAAGCAGCATCCCATATCGGATTCAGGAGGTTTTTTGGCACAGCAAACTGTGGGAGTTTTGCCGTCTTTACATAGGGTTATCACACCAGTGATCACAATGCAAATATTCCAGTGCAGTGATGTATATGTCCCACTTGAGGGAGCATCTGTTTATGAGCAACTGAAGGAAACCTTTTAAGTAATTCTTTTTGAGACAAGTGTTAGTGGAAACCACCCTTGTGTCGGTGATTGAGAAGCTGCAACTGGAGTGAGAGCATCTGCAAGCATCTTCCCACAGCAGGAGATTTCTGTGAATAAAAATGGTCCCACTACCAGGAGCAATTGTGCAAAGATCCCAAAGCAGCTGTGGTTAATTAAAGGCAACCCAAGGCTTTAAGACATTTGTGTTTAATACTGTAAACATGCACATAAAATGTCCAATATTTTTAGTCAACCAACTTTTTATTTTTAAAGACAGTAGGACATGAAATTTCTCTTCCACTCAGTAAGTTCACCCCACTAGTACAAGATATGGAAGGAGAGCCCACAAAGGGAATCCATAGGCAAGAGCCAGAGGGGGGAGGAGCCACAGAAACCACCTGACCACAGCATCCAGTGCCAGGGGAAGTTGATGAGAATCAAAGTAGCGGCAGATTAGGAGTCTGCCCAGCCAGCGCAAGACTGTAGGGAGACAAGAGGAGAGCGTGGACCAGAAAGTGGGTTGGACATCATGCCTGCTAAATGGTCCCTCAGGCCAAGGCCTGGTCCTGACCTGGATATTTTATGACAATTCAAAGAGTTATGGGTGGGGTCAACTAGGCAGGCTGAAAGAGAATGCAAGAGCTGTCTTGGGGGCTTGTCTGGAAAGCCACCCTGCGCTCAGGTTGCCAGTTTTGAAACAGCTCCCCCTGCCGACCAGCTCCCATGCCAGTGATGTGACATTTTTAAAGGCTGTGTTTGCACAATCATTTAAAAATTGTAGCCTTCTGACCTGAAGAGCACCTAGGCATGCTGGATAAAGCGCCGACTGAGCCACAAGTGGGTCCATTAATTGGCTGTAGGGGAAGAGCCATAGCTCAGTGTTCCAGCCGCTGCTATGCATGCACAAGGCCCAAAGTTCATTTCCCTGCATTTCCAGGTAAGACTGGGAAAACATCCCTTCAGGAAACCCTGGAGAGCCGCTGCCAATCATTGCAGATAATACTGAGATATACTGATATATTGCAGATATACTGAGCTAGATCGGCAATCTCCCATATTCCTATAATACTGCACAATGCTGGAGTCCTTTGGATACACACGCCCTGAGGATGTTCTGAAATTTGTTCTTGGCCTTTCCAATAATCATTGCTTATTACCAGCACATAAATTGTGTTTCTCTTACCACACTTATTAAGTCATGGGAGATTATGAATGGTACATATACTAAGAAAGTTTCCATAGTGGTTTTTTTAAAACACACAAGCACACACCTGGATTTAAGCAGCTCACACTGACCTTAGGGAGATCTATGGCAGTGGCTGACTTTTGGCTTTCAAATTTCAGTGGTGCCCTATGCAATGCAATGCTATAGTTCGGCACCCTTCGCCTGCTGCACTCCATGCTACAGCATTGTTTTAGCACCCACTGCAGCAAAGCACCCAGTCCAGCTGCATCAGTTGTGCCACCCTGAAACCACCTCTGTATATGGAGAGTCCAGACCTGCCTAAAGCATGCATATATATATGGGCGCCTGCCTAACTCCCTTCCCTGCAATATATATACAGTGGTACCTCTGGTTACATACTTAATTCGTTCTGGAGGCCTCTTCTTAACCTGAAACTGTTCTTAACCTGAAGCACCACTTTAGCTAATGGGGCCTCCTGCTGCTGCCGCGCTGCCAGAGCACGATTTCTGTTCTCATCCTGAAGCAAAGTTCTTAACCCGAGGTACTATTTCTGGGTTAGCGGAGTCTGTAACCTGAAGCGTATGTAACCTGAAGCTTATGTGACCCAAGGTACCACTGTATATATATTTCAGGGAAGGGAGTTGGGCAGGCGCTGTGGTTGTGCTATTCCTCTACCACTGCGCTTTCTGCTAAAGGCTACTATTGAACAAAGGGACAGGTGCAGCTGCCTGTGGTTTTCCTAGAGACACAGAAGCCTGAATCATTCCGCATCCAACTCGGGACAGGAGACTTTGGTGGGCATTTTCCAGCCATGGTCAATTACCAAAGACAGCTCTGCGTAATAAAATTTTTTTAAAAAATGCTTGTGAAGAAATAGGTTTTGCTTGGGTGAGTCAGAGCCGATTGGGAACTGCTCCAAACACTGGAGAGGGGCGGGAACATAGCTCCCAAGTTTACTGGGTTGGCTCCTAAGCAAATTCACCACCGCCGAGTGGAGGGAAGATAAAATTAATGACGGTGAGAAATCAAAAGATGCTGGGAAATGATTCCAGCCGAATGAAGGCACGGAGCACTCTTCAAAGAGCTGTGCAGCTGAATGCAGAGTCCTGGGGTTCCTTCGAGGGGGTTATTAGGCCTCGTTTATGAACTATGGTTACCAAGGTGCATAATCTGAGCAACTTGCTCTTGGACACAGAAAGGAGTGTCAGACATAGGATTAGACTGCAGGGAGAGCGTCTTGGCTCCACCGGCACCTGTGGCAAAACACCCGCTGATTGCAATGGAACCACAGTTTCAGCCCTGCAGGTTTCCTGACTTCTGATAATTTAGCATCCAAAAAAAGAAAGAAAAGTAGACAGGATGACTCTGTTCCAGGGAAAATTACATGCCCATATACATTTGCAGTAAGTAGGTTGGCCCACACAAATTGATGGTTAAAGCGGGATTGAGCATTTGTTTCAAAGTCTCACAATTCCATGGTGGTTGGGTTGTTGTTGTTGTTGACCAGCTAACCAACAGCATAAACAGGACCTAGTAGAAACGCCATGGTAGCTCTTGTTAGACTTTTGTGAGATGTACTGCACCATTTTCAACGGGTTGCGTCACCAAAGTTCTTAACTATCTGGGTCAGAAGGTGAGTTTGTTTGGCTTTTAATACTTGGCCGCACTGTGGCTCAAGAAGTATTTCTTCCAAAAATCTTCCCTTCCTCAGAATGTAAAAGGAACATAGGGGAACATAGGCAGATCCTCTATCCTGAGTCAGACCATTCGCCATTTAGTATTGTCCTCACAATTCTCCATGGTTTCAAACAAGGGACATTCCCATCACCACCTGGAGATGTTGATTCCATTGTATCGTTAGCAGAGTAAAAAATTAAACCCATTACAGGAGATATATATATATATATGACAAAAACACTAGGAAATCAAAATGCAACAATGTGCTAAACATACTAAGAAAAAAATGGCCTTCAGAATGGCTTTATGGACAGCCAAGGTAAGCACAAAGCAGAGTGGAAAGCATAAGGCAATAAATGAAAAGGGGAAACATCCTCTTGTTGAGCGGGGGTGGGGTGGGGTTGTAAATGGGGGGAGGCATGACTTGGACCAATCAGTCAAACAAAGTCTTATGTCATATGTATTGCCAAATAAAGTCATAACTTCACTGGGATAAGTGGCTTCATATGTTGTTTGTTCATGGGCGTCACAAGTGGCAGCAAATCTATCTGCAAACACTATCTGTTTTTAGGCGCCAGGCATTCCTACTTACCCAGGCCTTTGGATCTTGATTTTATGCTGATGTGTATGTGTATATATAGGTTGCTTTGTCCTTGTTTTTAACGCTCATTCCTTGAGTTTAATTTCTCTCTCTCTTTTTTTCCAAGCGACACAATAATAATAATTATCCTTGAGAAGCTAGACTGGCTCCCTCCTTGTTGTCCTTCTGACGGGAGGTGAAGGACAAGCTTTTGGGGACTGGCTGTTCCATGTTTGTTGGTTTGCTTTAAGGAAAGCGCCTTTAAATAATGCTGTGCTGCTTTTATTGCATTTTAACAGATCTGTTTTTATATTGTTTTAATTCTGTTGTAGCTCCTTTTTAACTATTATCTGTTATGTGATTTTAGCCTTCTGTATTTCATCCGTGGGGTTTTAATCTGTGTAAGCCACTTTGAGACTTGGAAAGGGGGACTAACAGAATCATAGAACTGTAGCGTTGGAAAGGACCCCAGGGGTCATCTAGTCTAACCCTCTGCAATGCAGGAATCTCAGCTAAAGCACCCATGACAGATGGCCACCCAACTTCTGCTTAAAAGCCTCCAGGGAAGGAGAGTCAATAATATTTGTCTCCATTCCAGGTATACATGTTTGGGAGGTGGGCAGTGAATTTCCAAGATGCTGACTGCTATGTCTAGATCCCAGGGGTTGGGGGTGGCGTTAAGATGGCACCATCAAGGCAGATGAGCCAGCATGAATAGCCGGGAGAAAACGCATGGAAAACACATGGGATTTTTCCTCCCAAGCTGATCCCAAAAGGGGTACCAAACATAATTAAACTTAAGTAGATTTTATAAAAAATAAAAAGCAAAAGCGGGGGAAAGCATATCAGTGAAAACAGAAAACAAATGTAAATGCTTTGGCTCAGGTGAAACTTCTGAGACATGTCTAGGGAAACAACAACAGAAATCGTTACTGCAATCCTATAAATCTACTCAGGAGAAGGGACAGTAGAATATGCGACTTGTTGATTCTCTCAGTTTCTTATTTTTCCAGCGATAACAACAACAACAACAACAACAACAACAACAACAACAACCCCTTACAAAAATTCATCAGCATTGTAGTGCAAATTTCTCCTTATATTTGTGTTTGTATCAGGGCTGTGAGCATTCCTTGGTCGCAAAAACTGCACTGTGAAATTTGGAGGTGTGCAAATTCCTAAAGATATCTATGTTCCAGATTGCATATTGTTTTGGGAAGTGCAGATTGAGTAGGTCTGCCTTGAAATGTGGACTGAATTGAATTTCTGCTCCATCCCTACTCAGGAGTAAAGACCTACTGAGTTCACTAGGACTTACTCCCAGGGACGTGTGTCTAGGATTTCAGCCTCGTTGAAATGGTAACATTCTGTCCAGTTTGCATGACACCTTGCCCATAAGGGTCTCCTGCCTCTTTGTAGGTGGCATAGCAAAAAATGCTCCGCTCATCCTTGCAGATGGACTCTTTGACTTGAAATACTTTTGTGTGTTATGTGTGCCTGAAGGTGAAGAGCCATAGCTCAGTGGCTTAGGGCCCTCGTATTTACGGGACCGCCTCTCCTGGTATGCCCCACAGAGGACCTTAAGGTCCATGAATAACCATAGTTTAGAGGTCCCAGGCCCTAAGGAAGTCAGACTATCCTCCACCAGGGCCAGGGCCTTTTCAGTGATGGCTCTGACCTGGTGGAATGCTCTGTCCCATGAGATTAGGGCCCTTAAGGATTTAACCTTCTTCCGTCAGGCCTGTAAGACTCTCCTGGCTTCAGCAAAAGGAACCCGAAGCCTTTGGAGCGCAGCGCGAGGTCCCGCTGCGCTCCAAAGGCTTCAGGCGGCTACACCTGAAGCCTGGAGAGCGAGAGGGGTCGGTGCGCACCGCCCCCTCTTGCTCTCCAGGCTTCAGCGAAAGCAACGTGTAGCCTCCGGAGCGTGGAGGGAGCGCTCCCTCTGTGCTTTGGAGGCTTCGCGTTGCTTTCGCTGAAGCCAAGGAGCCTGCATTCGCTCCATAGGGTGCACAAACATTTCCCCTTAATTTTTGGAGGGGGGAAAGTGTGTCCTATAGAGCGAAAAATACGGTAATGCTTATTAGACGGATTTCCCCTAAATTGATTTCTGAACTTTGAATTTTATTGTTATTCATGTTTTTATACTGTATTTTATGCTGCTTTTACAATTAAGTGTTTTAAATTTGTTGTTAGCCACCCTGAGCCCGGTTTTTGAACTGGGAAGGGCGGGGTATAAATAAAAAAATATTATTATAATTTATTAGTGGCAGAGCATCTGTCTTGCATGCAGAAGGTCCAGGTTCAATCCCTGGCTTCTCCAGGTAGGGTTCTGCCTGCAAACCTGAGGAGTGGCTTCCAGTCAGTGTAGGCAATACTGAGTTAGATAGACCAACAGTCTGACTTGGTGTATGGCAGCTTTCTAAGCAACTCCTTAGTGCAATGGGTCAGTGGCTGTTAACCAGAAGGTTGGTGGTTCGTGCCCACACAGGGACAGCTGTGGACAGGATTCCTGCATTGCAGGGAGTTGGACTAGATGAATCTTGGGATCCCTTCCAGCTCTACAGTTCTATGATTCTAAGGATCCACACCTTGCAGTTGGAAGGTTAGCTCCCAGCACCAGTGTACAATTTGCCCTGAGAACCCGGTCTCATTTAGGCATTTACACCATTTCTGTGATAAACTCTTTTGCCTGTGCCAACTGACTGCAAGAGACAAAGGAAAGGAAAATAAGGGAGTGAGCTTATTACTTTAATCTGGCATGCCCTGAGCCAGTTTGGAGGCCCAGTTTTCCCCCCCATTAAAGGAGACACCTTCAATTAAATGCTCTTGAGCTCGTAGCAATACAAGAGGGGTTTTCTGAACATCAAAGGGCCGGCTGCTAATTAGGACAACTATAACAACCTATACATGGGCAGCATATGTTTATTAATTAAAATTCTCAGTTTTACCTCATTTCTGGAGTTGGCACATGGTTAGCTTCCACATGAACTGGAAATAATAAGAGCCACACCCCAGGGACGTCTTAGAAAGGCCTGCTCAAGTTCTTTCCCCAAGACTTTGCATTTCACATCTTTCAATGATGTTCCTTTCCCTCCCTTCCTTCCTTCCTTCCTTCCTTCCTTCCTTCCTTCCTTCTATCCACGCAAGCTCTGCTGCTTTCTGAAGCATCTGCACATCTGAAGCAGAGCGAAACATTAACTGTTTCTTTGGCAAGGACAGATTCGTAGGCATTGGGACTCTGTGTTGATAATGTTCTGGAGGGAGGGAGCACTTCTTGAAAGAAATAAATCCCTTAGAACAGGCTAAGGAACCTCAGGCTCGGGGGCAGAAGGGGGCCCTCCAAGGCTTCTCTATGTGGCCTTTGGTACTGGTCTCAGTCCACACCCCCTCGCCCCCTCCCCAGTCTTCCTTGACCGCTCCATGAGCACTTTCCCCTGGGTGGATGTGGTCCATGAACTCGGACAGTGCCTTTTGCTTGTCCGCATGGAAGACAGAGATGTGTGTGGAAAGTAGCCTACTGTACAAAGGTAACATTTACTTTCATTGCCCCACCCACCTTGGCATGTGGCCCTGCCCAGTGCTGGCTTGTGGCCCCTGGAAGGTTACTCAGAAGAGAATGCAACCCTCAGGGCAAAAATAATCTTCCCTAACTTTTCCTTAGAAAGTGTCTTATACCAGGGTCAGACACTTTGTCCCTCTGGCTAAGTGCTCATCCTTTGGGAAAATACCTCATGAACAGCTCCCCACCTTCAACATGACAGTTTCATTCGCACACAGCCCTCCATCCATAGCATCACATTGCGGGACACAACCCCCAAGATGCTATAGCTATGTGCGAAGGTGGGGAAGTGTGGCAAATGGGTGAATAATCATTTTTATTTATTTTTGAACGCAGGAGAGTTTTGGCAAGCTTGCTTGCTTGCTTTTTTTTTTTTTTTAACTTCTCTTGCAGGTCCATTGAAATGGGTTGCACCAACAACCTCTAAAAGAGTTTCACAACCCTCCATGCAACTCTTAAATACTTTCTGGAAAACTTGATGTAACTCATTATCTTACCACTCCCAAAGCGCTCCGATTGTGTGAAGAAACCAATCGCACATTGACTGTAAGGGGAGAGTGAAAGACTCAGGATATTGTGCAGCAGCAGGGAAATACATGTGGAGTCGATCATTTGGATTCCAGCTCCTGCTACTGTTTGGCTGCTTCTGTTTTTAATTTCTCTTCCCTGCCCCTTCCGTCCCCCTCTCAGATGTGAGAACGGCTGTACCTCTTCCATAGCTACTGCTGACGGCTGCCAGGTACTGTCTTCGATTTGAAGAGAACTGAGAAGTTAACATTTCTCTTTGCCAAAGTACAAATTTTCCAAAGAGAGAAAGGAACAGGGACTGCAACACACACACCCTGCTTACAACTGTGGGGTTCAAGGCAGGTGGTCTGTAGTGACCAAGATCCAGTGCTTTGGACTAGGGAGCCTATTACAATCGTACCTTGGTTTTTGAACAGCTTAGTTCTTGAACATTTTGACTGTTCTGGTTTGCAAACTATTTTTGGAAGCTGAGCACCTGATGGCGCTTCCACTGCTTCCGATTGGTTGCAGGAGGTTCCTGCAGCCAATCAGAAGCCGCGCTTTGGTTTCCAAACATTTTGGAAGTTGAACGGACTTCTGAGACAGATTCCATTTGACTTCCAAGGTATGGCTGTACTGTAAAATCACACAGCACAGGTTTTTCCTGGGCTTCAGCATTTGAAGGAACAAGCAGGTGATTGCTTTTTTGCTACCCCATAAAAACAATCCCTGAATATGAAACTTTTAACATTTCAGGGAAATTACAGTGGTGCCTCGGGTTAAGTACTTAATTCGTTCCGGAGGTCCGTACTTAACCTGAAACTGTTCTTAACCTGAAGCACCACTTTAGCTAATGGGGCCTCCTGCTGCTGCCGCGCCACCAGAGCACCATTTCTGTTCTCATCCTGAAGCAAAGTTCTTAACCTGAAGCACTATTTCTGGGTTAGCGGAGTCTGTAACCTGAAGCGTATGTAACCTGAAGCGTATGTAACCTGAGGTACCACTGTATGAACCTAGAAACTTTCTCCACGACATGTTTACTTTTCTATGTGCCAAAAAAAAAGTTCTTTTTCATAGGAGGAAGGTTTCAGATATTTTTGAGATTTCCCAAACATGCAGTCTGAAGTGATATAATCTGGAGCAAGGCACACCATGTGTTTCTGCTGCATGTAAAGATCAGCTCTGAGTCCAAACTTCTAAGTTTCATGTGAATTGCTTAGAAGGCACAAGAACTCTGTAGAAAGCACATGACATCGCAACTAGGGATGGAGGAGAACTGCAGTTCATTGTGCATTTAAACGCTTTTCTTATTCACACTCAGCAAGACAGTACATGAACTGAAACACAGCCAGTCTACGAAATTCACACTTCTCCGAATTTTGTGATGCAGTTCCTCAGACAAATAACAGGTACAGAAATGCATAGGCGGGAGTAAAGCATGAGTAGAAATGCATGTATCAGTGAAAATAGCATTAAAAACACATTATTTGGGGGGAAATTGCATTGCAAAAATGTGAGAATTTTTGCACTATAATTGCTGGTGAGTTTTCATGAAGGCTCAGAAAAAAACAGGAAAAAACCCAACTGCAAACTGAAGTGGAATTTTGAAGAACTGAACTTAAGAATGGAAAAATGAGAGAAAGTGAAATTGACTGATTTGCCCTTCCCTAATCATAACTCTACTTTTTTGCCCATGTGAACATCATTTGTTTTCTTGACCACAGGCAAGAAACTTAAAAAAAAAAAAATCTACAAAGCATTTTTACTGCTGGGAAAACTGACAATTACAAAGTCAAGGCTTCAACGCCATGTTTATGGTGCTGCTGTTGACGCTGTGCCCTTTCATCTCTGCTACTCTTGCAATAAAATCAACAAGTGTGGCCTCTCCAAAAGTGCGGTGGGTCCACGGTGCCAAGACAAGGCATATCATTTGCTGCCGTGGCTGGATTTTGGGCAAACTCCTCTCTTGCCTTCCCTGGCAACTCTTCAGAGACAGCCTCTGGGGTTGTTTTGTATTTGGGCTGTTGCTGGTTTGGCGTCCCTTGATCGCCTGTCTCCTTGGACACAGCTTGCCTTTGTCTTTTTTCTCCGTGGCACGCAATTCCCCCGGTACAATTAGGACTCTTTCAATCGCTTTGTTTTCTATCTTTGGGCAGCTTAGCACATGGTGTAGTTATGTTAATTACATGTATTTAAAGTGCACGCATAAGACTTTTGGCTCCCCCTCCTTTTTTTCCCTTTTCTGCCCTCTGGGACAAGCCTTTAAAATGAAATTTGACGTTTATCTGATGTTCAACTGGGGATGAGAAAACCCTCCAGGGTTGAGATTTGGTGAGGTTGGGCATTGTGGGGTTTGGGATCGCTCAAAGCCTCACATCTGTCTGCTGTCTGCATCACCCAGTGTGCCTGTTCACAGATCAGCGTAGGAGTTGTGCAAGCATCCATGACTGATCACTTCAGCCAGGCTCACAGGACTTCCTGGCAGGATATTTTATTCTTAGCTTTATTGTTCTAGCCATAGGCCATTACTTATTCATCCTGCAGCCGCTTTATGCTAACTAATAAGGGTGCATGGGCACATGATTGAAATAGGCATACTAATCTGCCCATCTAATCATTTCCTTTGCACCCCACTCTTCCCCCAAAGACCCAAGAGTGGCATGCATGGTCTCCTTTATGAAATAACTCATAAACATGTACATTGGATGGGGAAGGGGCCACAGTTTGGTGTCTGTGGGCATCACATTGGGGACTCCCATGTACAGACAATACCACGCTAGATGGGACTGGGGGGGGTTGTCTATGGCTAGATGGGACCAAGGGGGTGCCCATGGGTCCCATGTAGCTTTGTTGTTGTTTAGTCGTTTAGTTGTGTCCAACTTTTTGTGACCCCATGGACCAGAGCACGCCAGGCACTTCTGTCTTCCACTGCCTCCCGCAGTTTGGTCAAACTCATGCTGGTAGCTTTGAGAACACTATCCAACCATCTTGTCCTCTGTCGTCCCTTTCTCCTTGTGCCCTCCATCTTTCTCAACATCAGGGTCTTTTCCAGGGAGTCTTCTCTTCTCATGAGGTGGCCAAAGTACTGGAGCCTCAGCTTCACGATCTGTCCTTCCAGTGAGCACTTAGGGCTAATTTCCTTAAGAATGGATGCGTTTGATCTTCTTGCAGTCCATGGGACTCTCAAGAGTCTCCTCCAGCAACATAATTCAAAAGCATCAATTCTTCGGCGATCAACCTTCTTTATGGTCCAG